TAGATTCAAACTAAGCTGAAAAATGTCCAAGTGCTTTTGCATTTCATGCTTTTGTTATTTCAACAATAACAAATCTGTGAATTGCAAACATTCATGAAAGATTGTAAGTCAATTAATTTATAAAATGGAAAAGGACAGATTTATGATGACTAAAACACATGATTTGAACAGCAGGCATTCCAATTTACAGCTCAGTGTACCACCTAGAATGGCTATTCATGACTGTAATTTCTGTACTCCTAATAAATTAAACCTCTAGGTATATATAAGGAATAAGAGAAATATCACTTATAAAATAGCTGCTTATCTGAAAACCATAGTAAGTAAAATGTATACACTACACGTATACACCAAAAATGGTGAAGTTGAATGTGGCGGGAGCGGGGGAAGAAAAAAGAAAAGAAAGAAGGGGACAATAAAAAAAAAGGTTTTAGCATCCTTTTTACAAAAAAACTCACAGAAATTATGGTCACAGTAAGTGCTAAATCAACCTTTTTCATCCTTGGTTTTATTTGTACAATACAGAATAAAATTACAAAATATTTGAATGTCATACCATTCTGAATCTATTGCTCTTTCTCTACATCTTCTGTAGCAAAAAAGTCACAGAAATTTCTCTTTGAACTTCTCTGTTCTGTGACACAAAAAAGTCCACTGAGACTCATAAATCCTAATGCCATTTAGTCAGTCTGAAAAAATTTTAATGAGCTCTCACTAGATTTGGTACAGAGATTATTTGTAACTATGGGATCAATTAATTAATTAGAAATGGAAGAAACTGAAAAGATATAGTATTTTAAATTAAGGAGATGATTTACATCACTTGGAACTTTTAGAATAGAACAGATTGATTCTTCATAAGAGAGTTATGACCATTTGTATTACTACAATCTATTCCTCTTTTTAAACAGTGGATATAAGTGGATTTATTTGCTTTTAAACTACTAGTAAGGTCCTTTATTTTACAGAAAAGCTACAGGCGAATTAACCAAAATACTGGAAAGAAAGGCCCTAGCCTGCAACATCCTTAAATAGGAAGATCATTAATCTATGTGGTTTTGATGACAGAAGTGTATTGGAAGTATGTATAAATGTTGGCATAGGAATGTCTGAAGCCCTCTGAGTTCGAGTCATATTTAAATTAAATCTATTAGCATATCATTTTTGTTATTATGAAATAAAACTTCAAGATAGCATTGAAAATTTTTATTTATATATATATATATCTCTATATATATAAATATAAAAATACACACAAATGGTCAGGTTGGTATGAACTCTTTTAAAGAAAAAATATTCTAGTATTTATACATTCCAAAATCATGATTTTTAATAACGTGAGCCCTATGAATTAAAGTGGAACAGAAATATATTGTTTAGCAAAAGTATTTTTGTTTCCTTATTTTTTTTCCCCTGATCAAATCTGTGAAGTCAATCGCTGAATCATGGGATAAGTGAGACGTAAAGGGACCTCCAGAGCTCATCTAGTCTGTGGACTGTGTCCAGATAAATTTCGAGTATCTCCAAGGATGGAGACTCCACAACCCCTCTAGGCAACCTCTGCAAGTGCTTGGCCACCCTCACAGTAAAAAGAAGCATTTTGATTTGCTCAGTCTCTTGTGTATATCTGTGCCCATTGACTCTGGTTTTGTCACTGGGCACCACTGAACAGAGCCTGACCTTCTTTACCATCTCCCTTGAAGTATTCTTACACATTAATAAGATCTCCCTGAGTATTCTCTTCTTTTCATTCCAACCACGTCATAAAGATGTTAAACAGGGCTGTAACCAGTATTGACCACTACTCACTGGCACCCAGCTAGAATTGTGCCACTGATCACAACCCTCTGGGCCTGGCCATTCAGCCAGTTTTCAAAACACACCACTGTCTGCTCACCCACAGCTTCTCTACAAGGATCATATGGGTGAGAGTACTACTGTAGCACAAGGAGACAACAGCCCCTGTTCTCACTTTGTCCACCAGGCCAGTCACTTCAAAGAAGTTAATTAAGTTTGTAAAGCATGACTTTCCCTTGATGTAGCCACAGTGACTGCTCCCGATGGTTTGCTTGTCCTTCCTGTGCCTGGAAATGGTTTTCAGGATTAGTTGTTTCACCACCACTCTCCAGGGATCGAGGTGAGGCTGAGTAGCCTGTAGTTCCCTGGCTTGAAGACAGGAGTGAGACATTTGCTTTCTCCAGTCTTTGAGCACTTCTCCTAATGGCCATGATTGATCAATGAGTATGTAAAGTGGTCTTATAATGACATCTGCCAGCTCCCTCAGCACTAGAAGGTGTATCCCATTAGGGTCCCCGGAATTACTCATGTCCAGTCTGGTTGAGTATTCCCTAACCAAAATCCAAATAAAAATAATACTATGAAAAGTATTATTTAACTGTCTAAATAAAATGTATGAAAAAGAACACAGTGTTTTGAACATTCTGGCCTGAAATTTCTATAATATTCAAGAACACATTGTTTCTACATATGTACAACTCCAGATGGTTTTCATACAAGTTGCATCTGTGCATTTGAGAGCAGAAATTTGAGTATATGTTTTTAAATTTAAATTTTAGAAAAATGTAAGTTTTCTAGTATTTAATCTCCAGATCATATTTTGATTACCTGACTGATTTAATTAATTATTTATATGACAGTGCATTGTTGCTAGTTTTGGCAGTTCATATGATGCTTCACGTATCACAAGATAGCAAGACCTAGGCTGAATTGGCAGGGTGTACCTTGTTTGAAATTCCTGTGCTATGGTTTCATCATGCATATTAAGTTTCTAGTTAACCAAAGACTGCAAACCAAAAGGTCAGCATTTAAGAAATTCCCAGATGGACAATTGTGACATCCTTCAATGACAGTAAAGCAGATATCATATCCATTTATATATCACATGAAATATTTTTCTTCCTCTTGAGAGTTCTGTGCTTGTGCTAAATTCCCACACTTCATCATTTGTGATTTTTGTAGATCCAACAAAAGTTCAGTTGAATTTAATCTGCACTAAGGGAATGCTGATGCTGTAAACTTCATATAGAGGAAAAACATAGATTCAAACATTTATGTTCTTCTTCAAATAAAAAGGTTAACAAAATTAAAAATACAAACCTAAACAAAAATACAATCTCTAATTTTGTCCAAAATACCTTTAAAATAGTTTAAAAATATTAGGTGTAATACAGATGATACTGTTTTCTTTAATTTTTTTTTTTTTTAATTTCTAACATAACTAAGGGAACAAAAAATTATCTACAACAGTGTCACTGGTTTTTCTTTGCTTGCTTTTGGGCTGTTCTTTAATGTTTTTGTATTTTTTAATTATTACCACCTTGTGACTTTTCTAAAATAGAGCCAAATAAACTAAGGGCTTTGGGAAAACTGTCCTTATGCTCCTCACATGAAATTATAGTTAATTTGCCATTAACTCCGATGACATTCAGTTACAACCCAGCTTTATATAAATTATGAATACTTTCTGCTCTTTTTTTTTCTGAATTACAGAATAGTTACACTTACATCCAATTAAAAAGTACTCATTATGCAACTCATCCTGTTTCCGAAAAAAAACCAGACCATACAACATTACAGGAACATACTCTGATTTTTTGTTCCCTACACATACAGTTAAGCAGGGAAGAATATTTTTATATGAAAAAATATTAAGCTGTGGTTTAAGCTTGTGTTCAACTCCTCTCTTCCTCTCTCTAAAACCTTGGGCTACTTCCCAATATTTGCTCTGAACTGAATATTACACTTTCAAAATTCATAACTCCCTAACTCTAAGGTGAGATTTACAGTTTTGCAACTCAGATTTCAACATCTGGAACAAGTCTTACAGGGACTACTCACACAAGTATCTACCATGTCCCTACTATGCCATGAGCATGAACATGTTTAGGTACATTTGTTGCATCTTTTCTGAACATGCAAGCTCACAAATGAAGTTGATGCACATATACAGAATGTCCTGAGAACTTGCAACAGAAAAAAAAAAATTCAAGCAAAACCCAAACACAGTTTGATTAACACTGTTCAACAGTAAACCACACTGCATCAAACTTATTTCACATTGTATTCTCAGGCAATGAAAATACCATTTAGACTCTGGGTGAGAATTTGAAGTACAAAAGGCTAAGGAATTAGTTAATCATTCCATACGTATTTGTGTAGCCACTTTTTCCTCAATAATCCTGCTGAGAGAATAGTAATCACAATCTAATCTACCTAAACTTACTCCCTAAAATTAGTAGGCAGTACATTTTTCTGCAGTAATGAAATTCTGAAACTTCAGAACTTACGTTCCACTCGGGACAGAGAAGAGAGAAAAATATTCCAAGGAAAAGGGAATTTAATTTAAAATAAAAGTGAAGACATTATTTTAACAACTCTCAGTTTATCTTTCAAATATTTTCCATGCAGATTTCTATTTCAGAATAAAGTTTAGAAAGTTTTATACAAGAGAGAAAACTAAACACACCTAACTCTTGGAGAAAGATTGTTCAAACTGATAGTTTAAAATCAGAAACAAGAATATGATCTCAGAGATTTACAATATAAGAGAACAGATGTGGCTTAAGAAAAAGATATGCCCTCTTCACAAAGAACCATCTTTAATTTTTCGACACTTAAGAGATAAATTAGCTATGAATGTATGAAAAATACACTGAACTATGCTTAAACAACTGTTTCCAAATTTTGAATAGTGAAGTTAAGATTGTAGATTTATTTATACAGCAGAGAATTATTACACTTTTCTATTACTGCATGTTACGGGGTAGTAAAACAGAGTAATCAGCATTACAAAAACACACATTACAAAGTGCGGGGGAAATCTCTTCCTTCAACAGCCCAAACATCTTTGAAAACAGAATTTGCTGATTTTTATAATGTTTATATTAAATTTAATCTAAGTATTTATCACATTTAAAAAAAATCCAAATATAGCCCAAAGAGAATATTCCTAAATTGAATTTGTCCCTTCCTCTTCTTACCTTCTCTGGAGGTGCAGAAGGGTGAAATCTCTTTGCACAAACCAGAAACAGATCAGGGTGTGGCTTGCCACACTTCACCTCAGGATCATCTCCCAACACAATATGATGAAAAAGACCAAAAAAGTCTTTGTGTCTGGTTGTTTTCCGCTGAAATGAGGCTTCACCCGAGCTAGTGGCAACAGCCATGGGTATGTTGTGTTTGTGTAAATGACGGATCAGCTTATCAACCCCTGCAAGACAAATATATATGTTTCAGTTTTTATATATATGCATATATGTCGGTATATGTATTAATGTTTATACCTAATTACAAAGTATTTAGCAATGTTTCAACAAGGCTGTCTTACTGAATAAAATAACCTATTTCAATCAGTTAGTGTGAAAGAAAATTCCTGCCATATCTTAAACTTTCCTTCTCCAGACAAAAGTCATGGAACATTCTTCAAGGTATACATATACTTGTTCTGTTATCAAAATGATGCTTTTCTCAAAATATGTCAGAAAATGAGTTCAACGTCATTACATGATGATACCCACTAGAAACTGATTAAGCAATGTTCCTTCCTCATGTAAGCTTATTATTTCAAACTCTGAGAGTTTGAGAGAACATTTTCTTTCATATACAGCTATGCTCCTGAAAAAAGAATCAAAAAAATATACTCTTCTCACTGGATAGCATAGTTTTAATTTCTGAAGCAAGTATCCAACTGGCTCAGACCAGACCCTAAGGGAGTTCGGTTTCTCTCTTCTGCAATTATTACAGAAAGTAACACTAGGCAGAGGAGAGCAGCTGTCAGTCACAGTTGTTAATACCAGAGCTTTATCTATTGATGCTGTGAACCCAGAGTAATGAACATCTCAAGCCTAACGGGTAGAAACTTCAATCTGATCCAGTCTTCTAGGGAAGGTTAATGCAGTGATGTGCTGAAAGCACAGCAGTCTGTGTAAGAGGGAAACATCATCATTTGGTGCAAGTTTTGAGTTTTCTTTAGGAGTTTTGTGGGTTTTTTTTCTGCAGCATTCTAAATGATGAATACATCTCCCAGAAAAAAACATTAGCATTATGTAATGAAGAACAAGATTGAATGTCTGGTTTTTATCAACTCGCAAGAGAAAATCCCTCCATATCTGTAAAATCATTTCAGCTCTGCTTCTTGGTATTAACCCACTGTGTTGGTGGGTTACCCACAGGATATTATTTCAGGCAGTTTAGGTTCAAGTGGACTCCAGTTGACTTTTGGCTCTTTGAAACAAGTTGAGCACAATTCTCTGTTTTCATCTTCCAACTTCATGGGTTCTTATCATACTTTTCATGTCTGATTATAGTAAAATAATCTTATTCTCTTCCTTCTGATTCACTGGCATAGTTATGTATGGTCCCTGCTCCTTCCAACCATTCCTGCTCCTCGTGTCCATTTAGTTCTTTTATTTGCCTCACCAGCATCTCTGATTTGCACTTCCCATGTGATTTAGCCTCTCAGTTCAACCACCTTAACTGCCACACACTTTTCCCAAGTATAGTCATATGGTCAGCTTGGAGAAGTTGTAAGTACTATTGATAAAAAAGTGGGTAGATTAGTAAAGAGGTGCATTAAATAATCCACCCATCTGGAACTAGGACTTGTAGGTATGGCTCTCTGGAGATTTCTCATCTATTGTTCAGAATCTAATCAAACAATTAAAAACCAACATTTTTTTTTAGCTCCAAGTTCATATTTAATGACTTTAAATACATGCAGTTCTGTAATGTTAGATTTTGAGTTGGACAGAAATAACAAGTGTTATTCCTCCTCTAATTGCAATTCATCATCTATTTGAAAGCCCTTCTATGCCTCCTTAAGTGGTTATACTAAGCAAGTGCATTTTTCCAAAATTATGCTATTATGTCCTCTCACTGAAATATGATGTTAAATACAAGTTAACTTTTTATTCCAGACAGTTTCATTCTGAAACATGTAGTAAGTCTATATTAAATTAATGAAGTACTAAGATGCCTTAATGTAAAGCAGGAACCCAAGTATCTCTTCTTTAGAATAAAATGCATTCATTCTAAGGAACTTACTCTAAATAAGCTGCAATGTTTAGCAAGGCTAGCATGTCATGTGTATAGTAATATAAAGAAGCCCAAAGATTAAGCAGAAGACTTTTCCTATCTTCTAGGCCCTTGCTATGATATAGTTTTCTGTAAAGTTGTGCTCTTTTCAAATAGTTAATTTTCTTCAGTCCCACTGCATCATAGCTTCAGTTCATCTCTCACATGGTATGTTTATTCTATATTCCTATTGGAGGTAGCCAGCAAAAAAGGAAAAAAAAAAAAAAAGAAAAAAGAAAAGCACTGTTGCAGAACAGTTATTTCTTTAGGGTTCTCTGTTATATTCCCCCAGCACATCATGATTATAGTGTGTAAATGTGTATGGGTGTGTGTTTGATTTCTCTTTTTGGCTTCCCTCCCAACAAGAGAGCTAAAATGCAGTTGTCCTTAATACCTCCAGAAAGCAAATATTTACATTATTCAGAAAATGCACTTTAATAAGAATATTTCATTTTAAAAATTATTATTCATATTACATGTAAATAGAGCAAAATAGATTAGAAAAAAATCAAGAGGCAAATCAACTGCACAGAAAAAAAATTAAACTGCATTTGAAAGTGTAGCTAGCATAACTTGACAAACTCAAAACAAATGAAAAATATACTCATTCCAGGTTTGCTTTCCTCTTCGTAAAAGCTACAGATCAAGAAAATTCATTTTTGTTTGCATCAACTACCACCAGCTCTAGACACTTAGCCACCACATCAAACTGACACAATTATTGTACCAAGTCAGCACTTAATTCTTTATTAGGAAGATAATATCTTCATCTGTATCTTTATAGTGCTTTTTTAAAAGAAAACATCAACAGAAGGGGAAGTGAGGAACTGCTTTAAAGATTCTTTAAAGTTTCTTAAACTTCCCCTGGTATATCCTGTGTTATTATACCCTCTGTAGCTACAAAGATTTTTCAATCAAATGACAATCAAATCAACCAAATAAGAACTCAAAGACCATGAGAAGTATGCTAAAAATTCCCCTAATCTTGATAACTTCTAACTTACTTGTTGCTACATCAGGGCCTATCCACCACAGAGGGACCCTTCTGTTAAGACTTCCTGGGATCACCTTTTACCCTTCTGAAGGACAGCTTAGGCACGTACAGCATGAACAAAAAACAAAGATCAAAAGAAATAAGGATCTCTATTCTTCCAGCATAAGGATACACTCCTAATGTGGCACACAGGCAATAACTATCTTACGCAGTATATGAATTCTTCAAGTAATTATAAAAAAAATCAGGAGTACCCCACAATGCTATGATTTATTTCCAAATGTAGTCTTCTTTTCAGATAACCAAAATGGTAAATACTCTTTCTTTATGCTATGTCTTTAAATATGAAGTTTTAGGACAGACACAGAAGCTCAATATATGCTAAATAGTTCAACACTGGTAACTATTGGAAAGAAAGATAGGTGAAAAGAATTGTAAGCTCAATTTTGTTACAGTAGCTGCAAAGAAGGAGGATCAACTTTAAATGTCAGCATCTTTAACACCCAATTAATCACAAATGTCAATGAAGTTATCAGCTTTGGGAAAAGAAAAAGAAAACAAATTAAACCAACAGAAAGGAGTTATTTCTTCTGAGACCACAGATGCATTTAAAAGGAAGAGATCAGCTTTTTGTTCCAAGAATTCCAGAAAATCATATATAAAAATACATATTGATTTTTTTTTAAAAAGGAAGTATTATTCCTCCATTAGACTCCAAATGTGGTGTTTGCACTTTTTAGATTCAGTTGAAATCATGGTGACTAATACAATGGATCAACTGATAAACTAAAAATAAGACTTATACTGAACAACGAAACTCTTGAGCTAACTCACTTTTTTCCTTTACATTGGCTAATACAAACATGTACAGCAAGAGTTCAGGAAACCAAATAACGCTACACTAAAATGATCTAATGAGAGTCCCCATCTAATTACTTACATACTATTACAAGACTATTTTCTACCTGCCGTTTTTAAAGTTCTCACCTTTTTAAATCAAATGGCATTATTCACTATAAAGTGAAAATTAACAAAACTCCTCAAAGCTAGCTCAAATTGATGAAAAACAAAGGGAATTTTTATTTTCCTTTTAGTTTTATACAAACATGGTCCCTGTGTAACACAGAATACTTCAGAACAGTCAAAAACACATACATTTTTGCCATATTTTACCTCATATCTTTTCAAATTTTTGTACCATCCCTTTTCTTATATTTGTCTATCACTGAACAGAACACTTTTCTTAACTTATATCACTTCTCCATCTCCACATTCAGACCTATTTCTTTTGAAATATTTCCAGATAAACAAGGAGATACTATAAAGCTCTTCTATTCTTTTCTAATATGTTTCTATCCAAACCTTTTTTCTATGAATATATTCCAGTAGTGTATAAGAATGTTTCTCAAAATAGACAAGAAAGTGATCTCCATCATAAACTGGGCACACGTCTTGATGATTTATGTCCATGTGCACAAATGAAAATCTTAAAAATAAAAAGAGCTTCTGTATTAGAAGACTTCTTTTTTCATAATCATTTACAGTTCCTACATTGAATGTGATAAGATTCCAAACCTAAAGTTTTTCAAGATTTCATCACATTCTTTAATCAAAGTTAACATTATCACTCAAAGCTTTGTAGACTGATTAGACTTCTAGTCAATTCCATGATAGTCTTTTAAGTTCATAAAGGCAAAAAACTATGGCAAAAAACTCAGCAGCATCTGAACACTAAAAGCACTCAACAAAACACAAAAAAATTTAACTTACAAAAAGAAGCTACTGTTTGTTAATTTAAGTCATAAAATGATTAAAATTATTTCTTATGGAGTTTGGTGTGCTATAACAACTGCAAGCCCATCAACACAGTGCTATTCATTATCTACACTTTCTCACAATCCTCAAGTGAAGTCAGGATTGTTGCTGTGAAGGTGACAGTGTGACAGAGGCGAGGCTATCCACTACTTGGTTTAATTGCCATGAATGTTTTAATTTGGTCAGCCCTGAATTGGTCAGGCAGTTGGACTAGGTGGTAGTTGTAGGTCCCTTCCAACTGAAGTAGTCCTGTTCAGTTCTGTTTTATTCTATTATATTCCTAAATCTCATGAGACAATGGAAACGTAACTCTCAGATCAACCCACTTCTTTTTTTTGTTATGATACACTGTATAAAAATGCTATCTGCAGTGGTATGTTATTCTTTCCCTGAGCTACAAACTGGAGGTGAAAACTACTAACCTATCCCCCACTTAGGAATGTAATTGACTATTAATAAGGAATTTTGACTTCTCATCTTATTGCTCAATAAAAAATACCAGAGATCCTCCTGGAGGCAGAGACTCCCTATTTACTGAATCATTACTATCATTTTAGTTTGGACATACTGACACCATGCATGGCCATAGAAGAAATGTAAGTACCAAATTTTACATAATTTAGAACATATATTAGCTGTGTTGCTGATTTCGTGATAAAAGCATGTTTGGGTTGCAATCTTTTGGGACCTGTAAAGGTCAAATCTTTGAAATCAGCCAAACAGAAAGCATCGTTCTGAGTCTGCAGCTGATTGATTCATCTCTAGGGGTTACAGGCTCACTGAACCCAGCATGGACTCACTAGAGTTTCCTAGTACTAAAGCAATAGCAGCAAGGAAAATAAAAGATAGCATGGTAGGAAGTCTCTTTACCTGTTAAGGGCACAACATGAATCAAGGAAGCTATAGTTAAGCTCACTAGACTGCTGGTTAAATGGAACTGCGGAAGGAAAAAATAAACTGGAGTTGCCACTGAAATTCGAACCGTTTTCCTTTCTTCTCTTTTTATGCTTTCTGACTGGCTTCATTTGGTACTAAAATTGAGGTATGAAATTACCTCCTCATGGCTGCAAGAAACAGTCGACTGTACTTGAACTGGAAAATAGCTTGCACATCACATTCTGCACTGGTTGAACAGGAGCTGCAACAACTAAATCCCAGTTACTGTAAAAACAAGGAATGGAAAATGTCTGAAAGGTATACACAGTCACACAATCCTTAAGGATCTGTGCTTTGTAATAATGATGATGAGCCAAAAACCAGAGACTACTGTGAAAGAATAGCAGTAGTTTCATAATCCTGACATGATGACAGTAACTGCTGGCAGTTGTATAACTTGGAGTTCAGTTTTTCTAGCTCTGTATATATTCTAGGTTTATGTTATGCAAAAGCACAACTAAACATGTATAGGTAGATATACAATATGCATATTTTTACTCTGTTCCACTTGTCATTCCCTATTCTTCTGACTATGCACTTCCCTGCAACACACAAGCTAAAAATGTATTTGCAGAAACAGAAAGCCTATCACAGTACTCTTGTAGATAACAATGTCTGTACTCCTACAGAGATATTTAGAAAACCAGCACAGTGGCAGGCCTGTCATTTTGTCAGTGTTGTCTTGGATTAATTTCTTTCTCCACTGAATCAAAACTACCATTCCTTAAGATTCTTTCAAAACTAAAAATAAATCTGTGAAAAACTCTCAGTTACCAGAAAATTCCATATTAGAAGTGGATATAGACTCTTCTTAGATGAAATTTGTATTTGAACTACAGCTTGATGTGTTGAGGCTTGACTGTCAGTTCAGCCATATTGAAATAGCCAAAATTCTGTCTTCAACTACTCATGCCTCAGAAGTGTTGCACATTAAGTGGTATGGCTGTAATATAGCCTGTGTCATGGTTTAAGCCCAGCTGGCAACTAAGTACCACACAGCTGCTCACTCAGTGCGTGTGTCCTTCCTGGTGGATAAGGAGAAGAATCAGGAAAAAAAGTAACTTGTAGGTAAGAACAGATTAATAATCAAAACAAAGCAAAATATAATAATGATAATACTAATACTACTGATCGTAAAATCAAAGGGAAAGGGTGAGAGAGAAAACCTAAGAAAGAAAAGAGATGCACAATGCAATTGCTCACAATTTGTTGATTGCCAGTCCATCCCAAAGACACAAGTGGTCCGTCTCCCAGGTAACAATCCCAGTTTATGCCCTGGGTATAATGTTCTATGATATGGAATATCCCTTTGGCCAGTTTAGATAAGCCATGGTCCCTCCTGGCTTCTTGTTCACCTGCTCACTGGCAGAGCAAGGGAAACTGAAAAATCCTTGACTTGGGGCAAGCACTACTTAAACATCAGTGTGTTATCAACTTTACTCTTGTACTAAATCCAAAACACAGCACTGTACTTGCTACTAAGAAAACAATGAACTCTATCCCAGCTGAAACCAGGACAGGTTTCTAATCAGACAAAGAACTGTTTTGTCAATTGAATATTCACACAACTTTCACACTATCCTTAACCATCAATGACATACCTGTCAATTACTTGATTTTGGAATTAATAGAGCTATCATGTTTGGCAAAACTATGTGCTTAACTCATTCCACATCCAGAAACAAGTGCTGCTTTACTTGAGTCACTTTTCCAAACATCATTGGTCATTGTTTAGCACTGCTCTCCACCAAACCTAATTTCAATGTTATTTTTGGACAAACTTTAGAAATTGATTAAAAAATAGAACCTCAACTGAATATTAACTGTCAAAAGATGGCCAGAAACACAGCACTTCAGTCATCCTAAGCCATTAATATGACAATTAACTTTCAGTTTCCTGTATTTAGCTGTAACCATCTGAAAGACCAGTTTAGTCAGAGAACAGTATAAACTCAAAATGTCATCATGGTCTTATATCTTATGCATCACATCTTATACTTTGCACAACACATGCAAGAAGCCCATTCTCAATTACAGAATATTAAGAGACTATAGAACAAATATACAAGGATCACATGAATAAACACCCTCAGAAGATACAAAAGGGTAGAAGAAAATACCAGATTTAAAACTCTGGTTGATTGGAGAACAGTCTTTAAAAAAACTAGATAGTAAGTACCTGGAGCCATTTCCCTCAAGCTTATTATCTGACATCAACCTGGTCTCTCAAAATTCATGCCAATTTAGCTTGTATCTCACATGCTGCCTCCAAGTAAAGGACAGATCATATCCCTTTAGTGACCAAGGATGCCTCTGCTCTCCATAATGGGCAGTGAGCATAAAGTATGTTAGTTCACATCAATTCTGCTTTAGAAAATACCCTCAAGAGAGTCATCACATGTATTTAGTTGAACTGAAAAGATAATTAGTTGACTAATTCTAATTAGTCAAATAATATTCTAAAAATATTTACTTGCTTTTCACAGTAAGAATTTTGCTGTTTTCCTCGATAATAGCCCAGCTTTATCAAACCCAGAATTCACTTTTTAAAGTCAGGAACAGCATAAAACCTCATGTTTCCTTCAGCTAATCTGTTCCATCATCTCTCTAACTCTGTTTCAGCCAGCTCAGCCACATTATCACAATCTTCAGCTGGCACACAATATCCACTTAATAGCATCTACTACCTGTGTTGTTTCACTACAGCAACTCTTCTCTGTGGCTCCTAACATTTTAACAAGTCTGTCCATCTGGCATTTTCTAAGCCCAGACTAAGATTTTTTTGTTCGGCTTGCAAAAGATACAGTTGAAAATTTAGTCCCAGAAGTTTGACATGAACTATGAAAAACACATCAATCCATATTTCTCATTGTTTTGAAGAGTTTAACTAGGCTTACAGTTTTAAGTGGAACTATGATTGAGAGAGATTTTGTTTGAAAAATCTTACACATAAAAGACACTAAAGAGATAACTAAGTTGGCTGCACAAAATACTCAAGTTAAAAAAATGACACCTTTTATTTTTGCTGCTTGTTATTTATTCCTAACATATCACATATTTTTAACTTTCATCCTCCTAATGCATTATGAAACTAGGTATAAAAAAGCATCTAAAAATTAAAACATTAATGCACTGTAGAAATTGTCAGAACAAATGAGCACACGTTCAAAGAGAAAAAATGAAAACAGTCAAACTCGTATAGTGACATGTAGCTATTTCACTTCTAACACTTTTTTTATATTCCTCTCAATCTCCTCCTTTTTTTTTCCTTCATAAATTATTGATATTTGCTCCAGAAAGTTTAGCACTGTACATAAAGTTACCTGCAATCCTAGGTTTAAGTGTTGCTAATCTTGTATGGTTGAGGATTTCTCTCTAAGCATTTCAGACCTAAATATAATTGAATATAAAAGTATCCATTCACACTACAGATAAGGTTAATCCTCTTGCTTATCTTGAGGTATCTGGTTGAAGCTACTCATTTTGGCATTCTGCAGTATCACTGGTAAAAGGCAAGGAAACTCTCCTGTCTTAGGATAACCTGAGGAACCTCCCCTCTCCAGTTACACACTCAGACACTGTTACTTGAGTTCCAATGTTCAGGTTAAGTAAGATTATTCCCAGCTGAAAGAACCCATGGGCTCGCATACTTTTAAATGTGCAGGCAAATATATTTGTGCTTAACAAAATCAGGCTACGCTCATAGTCAGGCAACGCTGCCAACAACAGTTATAAAGAACGTCTGGTTTACAAAACAGAATTCACACACGTGTACCTAGTTCTTTTTTTTTTTTTCTCTTAAAACACCTAGAAAAAAGCTTTTCTCCAAGTAAATAGGGAAAAAAGTTTTCTGTACTCCTTGACAGGTAAAATATTTCTTTAGACTGGTAAATATCAGGTGGATTTGAGTAAGACTTGCCAAAACGAGAGCGACGAAACAGAATCTGTAAGAGAAACTATTTTGTGAAAGACAGATTACAAACTTCTGCCTTGATTAGCATTTAAATAATTCCATAAAGAGTTTGTAAATATTGAAAAGAAGCATACCTGGCATCAATGCAGTATTATGGAATAGCTTCTCCTGCTTGATTTTACTTTCATTTAGTAGCTCTTCTTTGGTTATTGGAAGATCTAGAACATCCCGAATAATTTCTGCCGCTTCTAGGGCTTTTTTACCCATAACCAAGGATTTCACATCCCAGGTATAGGATTTTCCAAAACGCCCACAGATCTCTTCGAACACTACTGAATAGAGACGCTCAGTATCTGTCAAACAAACAAATGGAAAAAAAGAAAATTAAACCCACATATAGCCAGCCAGGCAGCTGTCTTGCAAATGGACCACATAAATGGTCAGGGAGTGGTAGACCAGGAGACAGAGGGTTCATACTGAAGTGGGTAAAACTGCATCCCTTTATTTGAAGAGGGGAACCCAGGCTTCCAGGATCACCTCAGAGGCACCTAGCTTTTTCAAGCTGTCACTTCTGTGTTAAGAAAAGGGAACTAAGGGTCTCAACAAAGAACTATCTGGACCCGGTTTTTCATCACCTTTCTTTAGTATCCAAGTTAGCAAGAAGTGTTTTAATTAAAATACTCTATGCTTTTCATGAGAAAGAAAAGAAGGGAAGGAAGGAAATCTGGTACTTGGGGGATGTCATTACACATTCCATGCAAATTGAAAAAAGAAAAAAAGAATTAATTATTTAAGAGTGTCTTTGAACGGAAGCTTCTGAGTGCTTTCAAAGATGTAACAGTCATTACTATAGTGCTCCTGGCAGCACTGCATTTACATGGGATTACTCCAGCAAAATACACCCACTTGTACTTCCAGGGGATTTCAGACAAGAGTAAACTTCAGGCTGAATTTTGGCAGCTTATATGTCAAAGATGTTTTAGCTTTCAAGCTATTTTTTTTAATAGAAACAAATAATCCATCCTTTCCTCCCCCCACAACGAATCTTTGAAAAAGAAGGTCATTAACATTTAATTTAACACTAATATGGGGAAGAAACATACTTTCAGCTCTTGGCTTCATTTCAGCAAAGATACTGAACACTGGCTTTTCTACCAGTCTGTTTATCTTTTCAAGCAGTCTCCTTTGAAAAGTCAGCTACTGCTGTTAACCATGCTTTAATTTCCTCGTAATGCATGTCTTTGCCTTCTGTATCTCTAAAGGTATGTTTATTACTATCACTTTAGCAATGAAAGGGAAAAGCATGGAAAGAAAGAAGTTGCTCTTATGAGATTTATTTAGAGAAATTCAGGACTTACTTATAAACATGTCCTTTGCCATGTAAAAATCTTTTTATAGATAATAAAATAGTGAAGTAATTCACGTGAAAAAGTAAATTAAGAATACAACATTTAAAAGTCACAGTTCCCTCTTTCTTTTTTTCTTATACTCTGTTTTTTCTTCTATATCTCAGACTCACCAGGTGAAGGATGTAAAATTCTTACTCTAAGTTTAAAATTGAAACTCATAATTAATCCTTATCTTGTTAAATAATACACAGCAAGCTAAGCAGAATTAAAACAAAACAAGGAAACAAAAACTTCTAGAATTTGAAAACTTTCCTATGAGTCTCTATGATAATTACATGTTAATCTATCTGAGAGTGAAAGATTCAACTCCATAGGTGAATTTTAAGTCTCCTGCAACTCCATACTTAATTTTAAGTCTCCTGTATTTTAAGACCTCTGAATTAAATTTTTTTCTTAAAGAACTTCTTAATTATGTCTAGATTGCAGACTTAAAAATGGTCTTTTATGCAATGTTGCAGTTTGCCAACTAAAGAGTACTCATGAACAAGTTTGAGTCAAACCTATTAAAACAATTAATTGTTAACTTATTCATATTGTGTTACAACTTAGCTTTCTCAGTGCTGAGAGGAAAAAAAACCCCAAAACCAAAAAAGCCACAAAACAAACAGAAATACCTCCAAACTGGTGCACAAACAACTGTCTACATTTAATTTAAATATATGTAAGTCCCACATATTACTCAAGCGTTTAAAGCAACATAAATGCTTAAACAAGCAGGATGTCAGAGAGCCTTCATTCCTTCCCTCCCCTCATTTATCCATTAGAAGGCTTGGCTTATAAAACCAGCTTTTCTCTCAAAGAGATCATTTTCATTCTGCCTGATGTCATAGCATCTGGACTCTGGACATCAACCTGGTTGCAATGGAAATTACCATAATTTCAAGTTTCCTGGCCTCTTTTAAGATTCTAAATATTTGTCTTTCTGGAGAAACAACTTGATTTTAATTTTCATGAGTGAATAACAAAAGCATGGATGTGAACATTTTACCTGCTCAGATAAATATGTTCCAATACAGCACATGAACAAAAACTGAAACCTGGAGGGAAAAATTTACACATACAAGCACACATATGCACCTACTGTAAAATCTCTAATTGGAATTTGAGGAGACTACAGCTGAAAATGCTGCACTCCCTACATATATGTTTAATAGACAAGGACTTATGTTCCTTCTGATTGTAGAGAAAGGAAAATCTGTAGGTCCCCTTTATAATTAGGCAGCAGTAAATAAATAGCAAATAATTATACAACTTTAAGATTTCTTATTCCCATGAAATAGAGCAATCTCAAAAAAAGTGATTAAAAAATACAAGGCAGGCTAGCTTTTTCACCACTGTAACAAGAAATAAAGCATAGATTGATTAGAGTTTAAGTACATTAACAAAACAATTTCAAACTGCTATAAATCTGCAATACAATAAGAAATTATATCTAATGCCCATACATGAATATAATCCATCAGTGAAATGAAACAAGGAAGAGGAATTCAATTCACCTTCTTAATTACAGTCACCTAATATTATTTACTCTAGTATGTTCAAAACATCCACACACATCTGATGGCAAAAAAAAGGAATCTGAGCAAGACTCACACCTTACTGCATGAGCAGCCAGATGTCCTACAACATCCCAAGTGGTAATAAACACATACATTTCACCAAGTGAATCCAGTCCCAGGTGCTAGCTCCCACCAGGAATACAAGCTGAGAACACAACAGGACACACTGGCTCCCACCAGGAATACAAGCTGAGAACACAACAGGACACACTGGCAGTGGCCTGCTCTAATAGAGGGAAAGAAAAGCTCCTTCAATTTCCAGAAAATGTATAACCTCAAAATAATACATATATAATAAAATAACCTTTCAAAATACTCTTCTCATTTCTAGCTCTCATCTCTTGATATATCTTTTACATGGACATTATCAGCAGGATGTTCTGTCCATCTGCTTGCTACATTTCACTGGGAATGAGTAATATTCATTCCCCAGTCACATATTATCTTCTAGTCGTTTTTATAACAACCCTCCTTCTATGTAACAGCACAGGCAGCTCCACTGGTGGTGTTTACAGTGTGCAAAAGCTAGTCACAATAAATACAAATAAAGTGACAAGAACGACAGAGGCACTGGATTACTCAGTTTGTGATCTTGCACAAAAATATGCTGATGTGTGTTCAGAAAGACCTACAGGTCACCTGTCAACCGACCACAGTACATAAGTGGAGTGCATGACAGGATCAAGTCACTGCAGAGTCAGAATTAGAAGTGCAGATCTACCTAAAGCAGTACCTAAACCTCAGCTTTATCAATCACTTACACATGAAGACAGCTTATTACAGAAGATTATGACTTCATGAATGAACACAGAACTTGATTTTTTTCAGAATGTTTACACCTTCTGAATTTATTAAAATTAGGTTATTGTGACTCTAAAATAATCCGTAGTTTATCAAGGAGACAGGATTAGTTGGCATGAAAGCTTCATTCAGCTGTAGCTCATCCTAATCATTAGTTTTGAGTTCTTTGTTTGAATAACCCATCTCAAGTTTGCATTAAGCTTTCCAGATGAAATACTCCTATGATTTATCCTAGGATTCAAACAGTCTTAAAGAGAATTTTAATTGTGTGTGCTCAATATACTGTAGTAATTCAAAATCAGATCCTGGACAATGAAACTCAGAAAGAGTTATTTTTTGGTTGGTTGGTGGGGTTTTTTGTTCGTTTGTGGTTTTTGTTTGTTTGTTGGTTTTTGTTGTTGGGTTTTTTTTTGTTTGTTTTTTTGGGGGGAGTTTTGTTTTGTTTTGTTTTGGGGGGGGGGATATAAAAATGGTTTAAGAGAAGAATTTTAATTTAAGCAACAGATTTCTTGTATCCATACCTATCAGGCAGATTTCTATTTAAGCGTAGAAGATTACCATTTTCAGTATTCAATTTAGCCAAATTCAAACACAGACAGTCATTTTTACCAACAGTGTGGCCCAAGACTGAGAAAATCTCATTGAATTTCATCACCATCAATACTGAATGAACATACAGAGACCGATTTTGCTTTCCTATCAGTCTTTCACAATGTTCCTTTAATCTCCTTGGAGTATGCAACTGTGTAAAAAAACCATACATATTACTGAAATGTTCAATTGGGGTAAAAGAGATAAATATAATTATAAACCAGAATATACTTACAGAAGTGTGAATTTTTCCTTTGCTTTTTGCAACTCCATTGATGGCATTTAGCACAGCATAAACTGCTAGCTTGCAAACAAATCTAAACAATGGCTGGAATGGTGGGGGAAATCAAGATTCCAGAGAGTATCAGATGTTTCCCCTAATCATGGAGTTATAGTAACAACATTCACACTTTCTCTCCTTTCTGGATTTAAATATAACAATGGCTCTTTTGTTTGTTATCTCACTGAATCAACTGAACAGTGTTAAAGAACACAGGATTTAAATAGACTAATGGCAAAGCCAAAGTAGTGACAGATTTCCCATCAGAAAGACTAACTTCTGTTAAGTCCTGAGTATCCCATGCAGAACTCAATCAATGGTCCTCATGCCCATCTATTTCAACATCAGCAAAATCATGAACTCACGGTTCTTTTCCATCTCTCTCCCTCTCTCCAGCATACAAAGACACGGCTGATCAGTTCACTGACCAGTCGTGTCAAGTCTGTGAGACTCAGGAGGATAAAAAACACTTCAGCACTGCATGAAAGCAAGGAAATGGATGTCTTTCAATAAGTCTCTGCGCTCTAAAGGGATCACTCATCAATCTTTCCATTCTACAACCTCTCTCCCCACCGGCAGTAGATGCCCTTAGCTCGTTCAGTCACACAAGTGAACCAATTCTTGAAATATCCATATAATTGAGGATATGAGTATCAAACAGTAGGACATCCAATACAATTTCTAATGGTATGTGGTCTATCACAGAGTTTAGG